CTTCCCCTGGTATGCTTGTAAGTCTTATGGTTACAAAAGTCTTATGGTTACAAAAATTTGCTTGATTGAATGTTGGCAGGGTTTCCTAAACAAACCCCATGTGGTTTGTTATATAAATATCTGATCCACATAACAATATTCCAGTCCAATCTCTAAATATTTAGATTTACTAGAAAGACTAAGAATAAGTCTGTAACCCTCTGACTTATGAATATATGCAGACAATGTGGGACAGGGTTTTATCCAGATGTTTGGTAAATAAGCATGTTGCAGTGTTACAGCCAGTGAATGCCAATAATATGAGATGATTGAAAAGACATTTAATACTATTATTGGATAATAATAATATTATTAAACATGCTGTTATAATGTATGCAATACATTGTAATGTATAATGTATGCAATAATGGTCCAAATTAAAATAAATAGTAAATAAATTAGAATAAAAAGAGAAAAACTGAAAAAAATACAGTTCTCTGATGCAAAAACTTACATTGTTATACAAATGGCTTTACTGTGTTGGACCATGGCAGTTGATAAATAGTTCAGTGGTCTTCCAAACGCATATGCCTATGGATCATAAAATCCAAAGTAATCAATGTAATTGTCTAAATGTTCACATTTGAATAAGTTTGAATAAATTTTTTTAATCATTACATGTGGTCAATTGCCAATTATCCTCTGATTTTTTGTGTTAATTGTTAGGGAGACAAAGGAACCATGGGAATCCGTGGGCAGCCGGTAAGTCATAAGTCACTTAAATTTATCTGTCATCATTGCTTCCAAATCTGCTGCTACTAAACTGATCCATAGACATGTGACAGAGAAAATTTCAGTTACTGGTTCTATGTCTACGCTAAAATAATCCCTAGTTAATTCAATAAGCTTTCTCCAAGACTTCAAACGTGCACACAATGGTAACTTAATTTGTTTTCATATTTATTTCCCCTTAATGACAAACATATGTACTATTGCAACTGAAAACTTTCTGTTACTCAGAAATGCAATGATTCCTAGACAGATCATAAAGAGTACTAGTCCAAAATATTGGAAGTTTTTAAGGAGAGATTGGACAATCGTTTGTCTGAAATGGTATAGGGTTTCCTGCTTGAGTTGGGCTAGAAGACCTCCATGGTCCCTTCCAACTCTGTTATTCTGTTAGAGAGAGGGAGAGAGAAACACACACACACACACACACACATCCCCTTTTTATTGGGGCAATTAAATATTCTGTTTCATATAAAGCTGGCCCTACTGAGGAGAGTGATTTCTAAGAATAGGGAAAAAGGGTTTTTAGATATGTAGGATCTGTATTAAGATACCCAAAAACATACAACCACCTCAGATAACATAATATTTTGTTGCTAATAGGAACTTTCCTGAAAAGTTATTCTAAACCTACTGAGAACATTAAAACATGGTAGATATGACTGAAGGGAAGCAGTTTCTAAATGGACTTTGGTCTAAGATTATAGAGCAATATGTGCAGGAATCTTTTGGTAGTTCTCTCCTTGAGAAATTCAATTCCAGCCCAATTTGGACGCCTTGAGTTTTTCACGAGTTTTGCTGGGGCCTTCCCTGTTCACCATCAATTTACTTTGAGGTTAATATGGATACATAAATACCTAACAGAAATGGCTGGTGTCCCACTAACACCATTAGTGGATGCCAAGTCGCCATTTTCCTTGGTAGTTCTATAATTATAGTACTTTCATCCAGTGTTGTCCTGTTTTAGACACTAAAATGCCCCATCTTAAGGGGGAATTTAATAATGATGTTACTTTTCATTCCTCAAAAGAATGTCTTGGCCAATAAGAATTGGAAACATCCTAATTAAGCAATACCATCTTAAAAATAGCAACTTGTTGACGGGCCAGAGACAGAAGTGGTATTCAGCAGGTTCTAACCAGTTCTAGAGAACCGGTAGCGGAATTTTTGAGTAGTTCAGAGAACCAGCAAATACCACCTCTGACTGGAGATTTTACAATATCCTTCCCCTGCCACACCCACCAAGCCACACCCACAGAACCAGTAGTAAAAAAAATGTGAATCCCACCACTGCCAGAGATACTTGTTAGATTTCTACCAGTTTTTACGTTAGTGGCTTATAAAATGAGATTTAGACAAACCTAACTAACTCTCTAAATCTCTTGCTAACATCTCCATATGTTTTGCCATCCTAGTTTATTCCTAACAGTTGTATTATATCCTTTCATCTTCATAATATTGTGTGGACACATAGCACACCATGACATATAAAACAGTCACTGGATTCTGTCACTTTAATCTACAGTCCAACAATTATGTGTACAGATGATCCCTTAGAAGCATTCCTAAGCATTAAACATGCTTTTCTTCCACAATTTCTCTTTTGTTGTACAATCACATTGTCAGCTTTGGAAGCCACGTTAACACCAGATGCTTCCAATCTGCCCCATTCTTGAGTCTGGGAAAAATGGGAGGGGGGATTTCTTAGAGCGCATGTGGTTAGACATAATAGCATTCTTCTTCTAAGTCAAGGTCATGTTATTTCTGCACCTGGCTGAGGAGTGGTTGAGGGGACATCTTAAGTTGGGACAGATGATGATTGGAGCATGTGAGGCAATGAGGGGTGCAGGGGGTGGATTTGTAATATTTTACTTATTGAAGGGAAACCTGAAACTTTCAGATTTGGGATTTCCTAGATGTGCCAGTTTTCTACTCTAATAAAAGGAACTTTTGAGGAGATGTCTGTCTTGGAGTTATTTGTTGGCGTTGAGGTTTTCTGGAATGCTGACACATATGCAATTTCAATTTTTTTTACAGAATAATATTAATAACATTTCTATGTCAATTGCAAAAACTCATGCTGCTTAGATACACACATATACAATACTGATATATCATGACATGCTAGCTTCTTGTTCCTGGGAATTAACTTGATGTGTATGAAGGCCAATAGCAATAGCACTTAGACTTATATACTGCTTTATAGCTTTACACCCTTCTGTAGGTGGTTTACAGAGTCAGCATATTGCCTCCAACAATCTGGGTCCTCATTTTACCCACCTCGGAAAGATGGAAGGCTGAGTCAACCTTAAGCCTGGTGGGATTTGAACTGCCAAATTATAGGCGGCTGGCTACAGAAGTAGCTTGCAGTGCTGCACTGTAACCACTGCACCACCGAGGCTCCTATACCAATACCAATACCAGCTAAAGAACTGCCAGTTGTGACCTCACACTGTTGTGAACAGACAACATGTTAACATTTAGAGAACAGATGCACACACATATAATTCCAATCATGTTACTTCTCATTTCTAATATAAAAAAATACATTTCAGAAACTAGATTTCTTTTCCCCTATATTACTGGTTAATAAAAACTGTGAAAGCGAATGTTCAACAAAATTTTTTTGAAAGTGATTTAAATACAAGAAAGTCAAAAGCGGGGTCACTTCACCATGCTTGTATGTGAACATTAAACCATGCATGTGTCAGTGTTTGTCTTTTCTTTTCCATTTTTCCTTTTGGCATGAGTGTGTATTTGTGCTTAGTGTGCCTTAACACTGACTCCTGTGTTTTGTGTCTCTCTTTCTCTCCCCCTTCACCCTGTTGCATGTGGCTGCGACTGATATAATGGTGGCCCAGGGAGTCAAGGGCCAACCTGGAGAGAAGGTGAGTCAGCTTTTTCCAGTTAACCACTTCAGATGGGGTTTGTCAATAGCTGTGGACCATCAACACTAGACAGATTGTCATTACGAATTAAATTGCAGCACGGATGCAATTAAATTCTACCAGGAGCTGAAAGAGATTGTCCCTGCTTGAGCAGGGGGTTGGACTAGATGACCTCCAAAGTACCTTCCAACTCTGTTATTCTGTTATTCCTGAGAAGTAGGCCTGGCCATGGGCAACCAGAGATTTGCCTGGTTTCCATCCTAATCTAGCCCAAATACCATAAACAAACAAGCAAGCAAGAAATTATTGCTGTTCAGTCAGGGCCAAAACAAAGGAAAGCAGTTATCTGTCCCTGATCTTGATAAGCTAAGCATGATCAGGCCAGTTTACTCCATGAATGAGAGACCATCAGTAAAAAAAAGGTGGAGCTTCAATCACACCATCATGGTCACAATCTTGATTTTTTTTTTAATTATTATACCCTGTAAACATCCTTGGGCTGTAGGCTAGTTGGAACAGAGGTCCCCAAACTTGGCAACTGTAAGACTTGTGGACTTCAACTCCCAGAATTCTCTGGCTGGAGAATTCTGGGAGTTGAAGTCCACAAGTCTTAAAGTTGCCAAGTTTGAGGACCTCCCCGTTAGAAAGACATTCCAGAATGAAGTTGCAATTTCCATATTATTGCTATGTAAACAGTATGGGTTTGCCCCTAAAAGACTTTTTGTCCTTTTATCAAAGGCCATTATTAACCACAAAGGCCAAATTATTTTACACAAATTAATACATGCAGTTAAAAAAATAGACAGTTTGACACATTTTTAAAAACATATATATATATAATGCTGAAAAAGCTCAGAGATGATCTAAAGCTTCAAAAATTTTGATTTGTTTACTATAATTTATACGAACATTGCCAAAGCTTCTTTGCACTGATAGTCAGGTAAACTCACCATTTTGCAGCTGGTCTTATGGATACTTTCTGGAACTGCTTTCAGTTTCATGGCTAGCAGCTGTGCTTGGAGAGTCTAGGAAAAAAACGACACATGGAAATGTAATTAACTCTACCAGCTGCATCCTAGACTGCCTCACCTCAGCATCATTGTTTGAGTAAGATTCACAGAATTCCAGATGCAAACTTGATATTTTGTCTGTGAGGAAAGCCTCATCAGCTAACTGAGGAAAGCGAATGAGAGGAGCCCTTAAATATTCTTTTTGATCCACAGCTGCATTTCTGTCACAACCATCAAGAATAAACTGTGTATTTGTGCCTTCCCTTTCAGAGCCAAAACATTTTGCATTGAATACCCAAAGTGTCTTTCCTTCCACGAGGAGTAAGGACAAAGCAGTAGTTAGACATAGGGGACTTGATGGCTTTTCAGATCATACAAAGCAGGGGTCTCCAACCTTGGCAACTTTAAGACTTGTGGACTTCAACTCCCAGAATTAATTCTTTTAGACTCTAACTCGGTGTGTCTAAACTGTAACTCGATCCCATTGTTTAGATCAGAGGTCTCCAAACTTGGCAACTTTAAGACTTGTGGCTTTGCTGGTTGGAGAATTCTGGGAGTTGAAGTCCACAAGTCTTAAAGTTGCCAAAGTTGGAGACCCCTGATACAAAGCACAATATGAAATGTATTCCCCTATTAGACTTGACATAGTTTGGCCTTTTTACATAATCTGTTAAAATAAGGGGTGCTTGATCTCTTCCATTTCACCAGTTAGCTAACATAAACCTGTCTCCTTTTGGTTTGGGGCACTCCCCTAGTATTTGAACAAAATGCAGCCTATAAAGTCCACCATCTGAAATAAAAATATCTTGAAATGAAGCTTTTTTTCCCCAGAATGGTCACAAATGTCCATTTAGAAAAATGTCCGTTAGAAAAACACAAGTTCTGTCCAACTTTTCTTTCCCAAACTAGAACCATATTATTTTGTTCCTTTCCAAATATCTGAGTTTGTAAAAATCTGGGCAGCCTATGCAAGGATGTCAAAATGGCAGCCTATGGGTCAGAGGCATCACATGCAGGCCATGCCAACCCCAGTTTTTTCCATGAAGGAAAAAAAATCGCAATACATCACATGACGGCAACACGCCGCCGCAAGTTTGACCCTTGTGCAAGGGATCCCCAACCTTGGCAACTTAACAACTTGCGGACTTCAACTCCCAGAATTCCCCAGCCAGCATAGCTGGGGAACTAGCTGGCAGTTGAAGTCCACAAGTCATAAAGTTGCCAAGGTTGGAGATCTCTGCTAGAGAGTGCTTCCATGTGAAGCATTTCCTGTGAAAAGGCACAGCCTCACTTGTGAATTTAAATTAGCGGAATGGGGATATCATGGGGTGGGAGGTTCACATTATGAAAAGTTGTGTGTTAATCCTCTTGCGTTTTCCTTGCTCCCATCATTTTTCCCCCTACAATAATCAGTTCTGTTAATGGAGAGAGTAGTTGCACAATGTATTTGAGCTGCTAGCACAGGGAGACATTTGTTGGGAAGTCCGTCTACTCCTGCCCTACCCTCACTGCAAATGCATATGCTTTTGTCCCCTGTAACTTTGATTTCACAATCAATGGTGAACAGTTGTGGCCCTTTGATTCTGCATTAAAAGAGTTCAAGTAAGCCCTTGTCACCAGAGAAATATGTAAGGATTAGGAATCCTAGGTAGACACTAAGTAGAAGAGCAGATGTAAAGATCATGATCAAGAGACCTTCATCTGAAAGAAATTTAGAAAGTTTGCAGGAGGTTCACAGCATGAAAAGCCAATACTGGAAGTGAACTTTAAAGGTGTTATGGGTATTTTGATTCTTCCCCTTCTAATACAATGCTGCTGCAGTTCATGCCTTATAGAAATAACAATTTTTAAAGGCGTCATTCCGTCAATGGAATCAAAAGTCTATAGCGTTGCTAAAAGATGATTGATGCAGTCAAAATCAGATAGGGTAAAGCACTGTGTTCTCAGATCCACAAAAATGTTTTGAGTCCATGCACCCGTAGACATATACTGCTTGACAAAACAAATTCCACAGCCCTTTATAAAGGTAGCTTGCTTCTTAATTACTCTTGAACCCCAGATTAAACAAGGCCACTTTGCAATGGGGAAGAATGATCATTGGACCTGAGATAAATTTGGCATCCAATAATAGTTTTTATGGCCATGAGGTGAGATTACTTTTCATTCCTGAGGAATTCAGAGTAGTGTTTTGATCCAATTTCAGGATGAATCCAAAATGGCTCCCTGTCTTGATTAGAAAAGGCCCGGGGACCTCCAGTTAAAACCTGCTTTTAATCACAATGAAGAATATGTGTGTGTATTGTTCTTTTTAATCCCCCTTTATATAAATGTTTCGTTTCCTCTTATTATTTCTTTGGCCACAAGTTCCTTTCAGCCCTCTCCTCTCGTTCCTTTGAATTTTTCACTCGAAATACTCACTTTTTGGCGTTATTGCTTACTTCATCATTGTCTCCTTGTTTTTTCTGCCTCTTTTTTAATATTAATCTCTAACCTGCTTTTTTTTTTTAAAAAAAAAATGGTTTTGGTCTTCTTTTCTACATATACATTTTCTCTCTCTTTATCCCCTGCAGGGAGCTCCAGGAGAGGCTGGCATGTCCATCATTGGTCCTCGTGGGCCTCCAGTAAGTTTCTTTGTCTTCTGATTATTACTTCTTAATGTTTAAAGCAATGTTTTTTAACCTTGACAACTTTGTGTGGACTTCCAGTATTCCCCAGCCAGCCAATACTGGGAGTCCATACATCTTAAAGTTGTCAAGGTCGAAAGAAACTGCTTTACAGGGTGTGGGATGAGGGTTAGGGAATCCTAAGAGCCTACTCTGTTCTCAAGCGGCTGTATTATGATGTGGTTTCTGCCAGTGGCTAAGTTTGTTTTTACGCTGAAATTGCAGAATGTATTGGTTACAAAGTGCGCCGCCTCAGCACAAAAATCTCAAAGCGATTTTACCCGCATTTTTCTCTCCTATGTTTACAAAGGAAGAAAATATTCCTAGATCTAAACAGAGAAACCAACACCAGATTATACAATCTCAGCATTTCAGCAAAGCATAAATATAAGGAAAAGCAGTCAACTGTTCATAGAGAATTCAGAATCAGCACAGGAGAAAATTGCACACGCATGCATAAGGCAATTCTGTGCACATTTAGAGGTACAGAGAAAATCCATTTCACACCAGGAGGTTTGGGACAAGTAGAAATGATGTGAGCTACATTTGCCAATATCCTGTTCATGTGTCCATTTAATGTAGAGAAAAGCAAGGTTTTACACACAGACAAGAGGAAACAAGTATAGAGGTACAGATGAGGTGAAACTTGGCTTAATAGGAGGAACCGTGAGACGGATCTTGGACTCCTAGTGCACAATTACTTAAATATGAGGCAGCAGTGTGCTGCAGCCACCAAAAAAGCCAATGTAATTCTAGGCTGCATTAACAGAGGGATAGAATCAAGATCACGTGAAGAGTTATTATTGCTTTATAAGGCTCCAGTAAGACCACACCTGGAATACTGCATCCAGTTTTGTTCACCACATTATAAAAAAGATGTTGATACTCTAGAAAAAGGTCAGAGAAGAACAACCAGGATGATGAGGGGACTGGAGACTAAAACATATGAAGAACAGTTGCAGGAATTGTGCCTGGCTAGTCTAGTGGAAAGAAGGACCATGGGCGGTATGATAGCAGTGTTCCAATATTTGAAGGGCTGCCACAAAGAAGAGAGTTAACCTGTTTTCCAAAGCACCAGAAGGCAAGACAAGAAACAATAGATAAAAACAAGCCTAGAACTAAGGAGAAATTTCCTGTTGGGGAGAAAAATTAATCAGTGGAACAGCTTGCCTTCAGAAGTTGTGGGTGCTTCATCACTAGAGGCTTTTAAGACAAGACTGGGCATCCATTTGTCTGAAATGATATAGGTCTTCTGCTTGAGCAGGGAGTTGGACTTAGACCAGGGACTGTCAACCTTTTGGACCTCAGGGACCACCAAACTCATCATTTTAAATCCCGTGGACCAGAGACCCTGGGAAAATCCCCCCAAAAGTCTGCAGGAAAATTCCCCACCCTGTTTTCCTACCGATCGATCATTCTTTATTTGGGATCTCAGGATATCGTCTCCAGCTGAGAGAGAGAGAGAGAGAGACAGAGAGAGAGAGAGACTTTTGGCTTCATGCAAGGAAAGCAGCAGAAGCAGCAGAAGTCTTTCTTTCTCTCCCCAAAACTCCACTAGAAATGAGTCTTTGTGAGACTTTTTGCGCCGGCGCAGCCTCTTGGAGCAGGATACCTTGGAGGGTCCCCAAGACTCATTTCTGGCGGAGTTGGGGGAGAGAAAGAAAGACTTTTGCTGCTTTCCTTGAGTGCAGCCAAAAGCAGAAGAAGAAGTGGAAAGAAGCAGCCAGGTGGCCAGGCCAGGCACGTGAGGCAAGTGAGGCAAGTTTCCCCCCCTCTGCCCTTTCCCCCCTCCCCTCACTACCTCATGTGGTTCATAATGCAAGCGAAACAAGCCTTGTGTTCCCGCAGGCCATGTAGGCGGTGCAGTCTTGCGTTCCCGCGCAGCCTGGATTAATTGCTTTGTGGGTGCTTTGGGGGGCGACATTTCTCTGTGGACCACCAAAATATTCTCACAGACCACCAGTGGTCCCCGGCCCACTGGTTGGTGACCACTGGACTAGAAGACTTTCAAGGTTCCTTCCAACTCTGTTATTCCAACACACTTACTTGGTAGTACTTTGGCTACTTTGGGTCTGCTGTTTCTAGCCCATTCTTGGTAACCTTGTTGTATCTAATGATAAAACCACTTAATCTGAATTTGAGACCCATCCCTAGAGAACACTTTTCCCCCTAAGTTTTACTAGGACAAGTCTACGGGAGTACTAAATAGTTCAGGGCTGTGAGTGAAAAAGTTCTGCCTTGTGTCTGTAACAATTAACAGACAAAGGAAGGACAAAGGGAAATGTTCTTTCTTCAATCTGAGAATCAATTGTAAAAAAATTATTTAGTTTAATGGCAGGCTGGTGATAAACATTAAGAAGGCTCTTGATAGCAAAGAAAAGCAAGGAAGCTGAAATAATAGCACAGTTTGGACAGATGCACAATGGCAAATAGTTTCCAGACGATTTTCTTGGAAGCGAAGTGAGGTGAACACTTGCAGACCCAGAGTTTTCATCTAGTCAGTGTTACTGGCTTTTTCCCCCCGCCGCCTTTTTTTTTTTCCTCCTTTTTCTTGGCTTCAGTAAAGCAGCATGCTCAGCATGGCAGAAACAGACTTTCTCTGCAATTTTGGCAGTTCCCACAATTCTGTTATGGAGCCCTTGAAGGAAACAGCATTTGAGGAAGGGAAAACTCAAGGCTTCTGGGAATCTGAAATGCCTGAACTTTTGCTCTGGCCTTTTTATTGTCTCCTGCTGGAGAAGATATCCAAGGGCAGGTTGCACCCTTTCCGGGTTTCCTCCCTGCATTCTTTTCTTAGCCATAGATTTAAAAAAAATCAACAACTATTTTCATTTCTTTCTCATTTGGAAACCTAAGTGATGGACAAGCTGTTGGATTTATTTCAGCTCATCTCCCTTTGGTGCTAAGACAATAGCTCCAGATAGATAGATAGATAGATAGATAGATAGATAGATAGATAGATAGATAGATAGATAGATAGATAGATAGATAGATATCACCAAAGCAAATATGATCAAATTTCTTTTTGTTGTTGTTGTTGTTTAGAATTCTCCAGTCATCCTAGCATTCAGCATTTTTTTTTAAAAGAAAAAGAGCATTTAGGTCAATTTGAGAGTGTTTCTAGGGAGATTTAAATATTAATTTCATGGCATGTGCAATGTTTTTTGGAGGTGGAAAAGTATGTTCCGTGCAGCAATTTTAAGATATGCAAGAAACAATTCTAAGATTCCTCGGAAAGTTAGGAAATAGTCTTCAAGGAAGCATTTGGCAGACATGATTCCCATAAAGAGATATTTTGCTTCCATCTTCTCCTGTAATATTCAAGAGATTTGAAGTAATTTGGTAAATCAAATGGCCATTTTCTCCTATAAAATGCTCCAGAATCTTCTGCTGAGACGCATCGTCTGATGGCTAAATCAACACAATAAGGTTTATCTAAGATAGGTTGGAAAAGAATTGCAATGAAGATCAACCTTGGCTAATGGAGACTGTGCCATTGAAACCCCACACTTTTGTGGCTTCATACTATCCAAAAAGTGTGGGGCTTTAATTGTATTACTACAACGGCCATCTTGGATTATTTTTTTTGACAGCCCGGGTGAATACTGCTGCCCTTGAGGTTCCTTCGATCATTAAAATGATTTTAATATACAGTAGTAGGAACTCATTTGCGTTGTATCTTGGAGTTTCCAACTTCAAGAAATTTAACAACGCAACCATAAAAAGTCTCCTTCTTAACAAAATTAGTCTATATAATCTTTCTAACTTGAGTATAGGTGTGAACTTATTCATCAAAGTAAAAATCTTGTTTTTAATATTAAGAATTAATTTTAAATGCAATTAATATTACACTTTACCACACGAGTCATAATTTTGTATCTCAGTGCAACTTCTATTAGATATAAATGATTGCAGTATAAAAATCATAATCTAAACTAGAACTGGAGTACAATCCTACAGTGTGCTAAGTTTTTGAAAGGGAAGATTTGACTTTTCCTTTGTCTTAAACTTTCTCATGAAATCTTAGAGTTGGAAGACTACTCAAAGCCATCAATTCCAACTTCCTGCTTGGTACAGGAATCCAAAACAAAGCATTCCCAGCAGATGATGTATAGTCTGCCTATCAGCTATTTGAAGAAGTCATCTCACCATCTCTTTTGGAGATTAGTTCTGCTATTGGACTATTTGCACCATTAAATAAGTTTTTCCTAACATCAACAAGATTCTGCTTTTAGGTAACATAAGACCATTATGTCTTGCCTTGAACTCTGTGATAAAAGGTATCAGGCTTTGATATTCTTCTGGATGACACACCAAGTATTTTAAAAGTGCTGTTATATCCCTTTTCAATCATTCCTTCTCAAAGCTGAAGATATTCAGTTCCCTTACTCTACCCTTGTATACTTGATTTACTGTTCTCTGGTCATCCTCATTGCCCTTCTTTCCATTCTTAGTTTCTTGGTGTTTGACTTAAAATATAGTGCCCTGAACTGACACAGCATTTAAGGTGACATCATCTGCCCAACAGAAATATAATGGAATGATTATCTTCCACAATTTTGAAGCTATTCTTGCATACGGCCTAAAATTACTTTGTCTTTTTTTCAACCACATCATACTGCTGATCTACATTCAGTTATTCTAAGATCTTTTTTTTATCATTCCTTTTCATCTTTGTCATACATGAAAATGTTAATATGTACCAAGTTTAGGTGTGAACTTGTGATACACACTTGATATTTCACTAATTCTGAGGAAGAGCCACTGATTAATACTTTTCTTTGTTTAAGCCTGTGGATTGATTTAGCAGAGATATCCTTGAATGACTAAAAATTGGAAAGTCAAAAGGTACTACATTAAATGTTTTGCAGAATATCGAGCACGATATATTAGGTAGAGAGCATTTCAGAGGTGATATTCAGCAGGTTCTGACCAATTCTGGAGAACCGGTAGCAGAA